TGTTGGAATGATTGCTTTATTGTCCACTACCTGCTTCACCCAGCAACAGCTAGATGTGCTAAGCACTTTGAAAGGCTGGGCTCCCCTGAGGAGAAAACACACATTTTTCAAAGTTCTGTTTTTGACACTTAAACAAGTTCATTCAAAAAGCTTTGATATGAGATGGTGCTCTGGAGAGAAATTTACTGATTCAAGTTTCCTTACAGTGGTGGTGATAGGACCCAAGGTTTGTGGTGTCCACAACACAGATATAGCCATTTTATTTACCATCCAAAATGACAAGCGAACCTGTTCCCCCACAGCAAGAAGGGTCTGGGTTCGATTCCTCAGCCAGGCAACGAGGGTCCTTTCTGTGTGGAGTTTGCATGTTCTCCCCATATCTGTGTGGGTTTTCTCCAGGTGCTCCGGTTTTCTGCAGCCTAAAGACATGCAGTCAGGCCAAATGGAGTAGCTAAATTGCCCCAGGTTTAAATGTATATGTCTGTGTGTCTGCCCTGTGTTGGACTGGCGACCTGTCCAGGAGGTTTCCTGCCTTCCACCCAATGAGCACTCGGACAGGCTCCAGCACCCCCTGTGACCCAGGAGGATATGCAGCCTAGACAATCTGTATGTATTTTTTGAGGACTATTTAGTCATACAACATCTCTCCACCATGAGTATGTTTTAGGCCGAAAGCTCATTCACAACATTTTTATAACCATTTCATGTAAACGCTTTGGACCTTTTCCAATCACCACCACTGTGAACAAGTCTCGGTAAGTTTCTCTACAGTCATATTATGCTTCTAAAGCCGCCTCTTTAGTACAGTGTATATTTTTGGACCTCCTCACACCATCCTTACTTCAGAGAAAAAGGCAGGGGCCTAAGCTAAGCAGCCACAAGCTCTCAGAATGCAAAGTTCATGTGAGGTGCAATTCCATTCCTTCTTACAGTTTTGCGATCACATCAAAGATGACAGTATACTACAACCACAACTTTTACTGAAATGTGCTTTACTATGTTCTTTTATTTGACAAGGATTAAGACTCAGTTACATGGTATCACTGTGGATCTCAGTGTAAAGAACCGGAAAATTACAGGATGAAACAGTAAAGCAAAAGAAAAACCCAGTGATCTGCATAAGAGGACTCTCGTACTGGTACAGGCTTCCATTGTACCAAAGAGTACCAGTGTCCTCATGCAAAGTGAAGGCAAATTTCAATGATGGACCATCTTCTTCTCAAGCTTGCAGGAGGCCGAGTGACAGTCTCTAAACTTCGTTGGGGTCAGCTATATCATCTCCTCGTCTGGAATATAAGAATGATGTCAGACTACTATCACTGCATAACCCTATACCTGGCAAAGCAGGCTATGATTAGAGAACAGGACTCTACAGGATGATCACTTTCTTATCTTTATTTTGGCCAATAGAACCAAAAGAAAGGCTAGATAGTGGATCACTCGTCCCGCCGAACATTTGATCCAAGCTTTTCCTGACAGCCTCGTTCTCTCTTAGCAAAGTGAATCATAACCACGTTCCTATCTCAGGTGGCAGTCTGCAAACTGTAAGGATCTCTTGCCAACGGCAGAGATTACGTTTTCACAAAGAAATTAGCTGCTGGCAGCCATGTGCAAATGTGTATGCCTCATTGCATTCTGTGTGTGTGTGTGTATGTGTGTGTCTCTTTGAAGGCCGGGAGGGTGAGTGCGTTTAATGTTGCGTCATTTTTTGATGTCTCTCTCATCGCTCCGCTGTGGCTTGTTTATCCGAGCATAACGAGATGCTATTTGACATCCTGTGACGAGGAGCCGGTAGTTCTCTCCGAGAAAAGGTCTCTTGCTCGCTCTCTTTCCCTCTTGCTCATGTCTCTACCTTTCCTCTTCTATCTCTCTTGCGCCCGCTCTCTCTCTCTCTCTCTCTCTCTCCGCTTTGATCTGTTAAATGAAGCTTCTCACCCCGAGCAGGCACATTAAAGGAGTGCACCTCTTTAGATTACGATGATGCGCAAATTGCACATCAATTAACGTTGCTGCTTGCGGCTCAGCGCAGATATGGTCATCAGTCACTTTAAAGAGCGTTAATGCCACCAGAGATAGGCAGGGAGCGAGAGAGACAGCTTAGCGAGGTGTAGAAATAGAAGCAACGTCGAACAGTCACAGAGGGAAAGATGAAAGGGAAGAGGTAAAGGGACTGTTCTCATGTAGTCAGAAAATGAGAATGGGGAGAGGAAGAGATGTCAGGATCACTGGTTAAGACTGAGTGGTGGCTGTGATGAGTCCTTTTTAAGACATTTCAGTGATTGAGACAAGCACGGCTGAGTACTGGCAGCAATGTGGTACGATACATATGATGAAACAGATGAAACAGTGTGGTAGGCAACCAGAGTACCCAAAGGAAACCCATGCAGACACATGGAGAACATGCAAACTCCACACAGAAAGGACCCTGGTCGCACAGGCAGGGAATCGAGCCCAGCCCCTTCTTGCCACCGTGCCACCGTGCTGTCCTAGCACACCTGACATAGAGAGCAAAACTAAAGACACCCCTTTTTTTAGTAGCGTCCACTCTTTGCCTTCATTGTAGCTTCCATTCTTTTCAGAAAACTTGCTGTCAGTTTTTCTTCATCTCCAAAGTTCAGTCCTAGGAGTTGGAAGTGTGTTCTGCCCCTCGCAATCCAAGTAATCCCAAACACATTGAGTGTTTTTGAGGACTCAACCGGGGTGGTCCATTATTCTGACAACACAACTTATACTTAATGACAATCATACTGAAATTGGGCAAGGCAAGTTTATTTGTATAGCATGTTTCTTACACATTGGCAAATCCAGCACCACAGAAAGGCATTTGAAAAATAGTTACAAAAATGTAAAATTAATGTGCATTGTAGAGAAAAAAGACAATACAATTGAAAGTAAAATATGGGATCAAAGTAAGTAAATAGAATCTAATTATATTAGATTCAACTTTGTTGTCATTGTGCAGGGTAGAGGTACAGAGCCTCTGAAATGCAGTTAGCATCTGACCAGAAGTACAAAAACAGTATTATTTACAGATAAAGTGCAGGACAGTAACCATGTTAAGCAATGCTGTGGTTACAGTATGTACAACTAAGGTCGGTAGATTAGTAAAAAATGTGGATATAGCAAGTATAAATATAATATACAACATATATAATATAACATATGTAAATATATATACTTATAATTGAGACTGAGAAATACATTAATATTCTCAAGACTCTTTTTTGCTACAAAAACAGTCCCATTTTATTTCCCCTAACTATGCATAGATTTATGTAAAATCATTTTGTACTAAATGATGCTAAACTCATGCAAAGATTTTAGCTTTACTGTAGCCAGACTGCTCTTAAAGGGGGCATTTTCCCTCATTTTCCCCTAATCTAAACTCCTTGGAGATCCAGTCCACACACACTGTCTCTAGTGTTCTAAACTATATTAATTTTTTTTTGCTAAAATGTGATGATCAGTATTTGCCGAGCAGCTCCTGCGCTGTACTAACAGCGTGTGGAGGCTACTGTAATGATGAGGCTTTCATCTGACAAGAACAGCAGTGAAAACATGTAGTTGGGATTCACCAAGAAATTTTTGAGTCAACTTTTGTCTTGACAACATCCAGCTCGACACTTCACAATCAGTACAATCAGTGTCAAGACCTTTGCCTGTCCAGATATGATAGTATATGATAGTGCATTGCTACATACGGGCTTCAGATAAATGCCTTCTGTTTCATTATATTGTGATTATTTTATTGCATGTGACCTTGAGCCTCTGACTTTTCCTCATATCTGAGTCGGGCCTACTGCTGAAGTTCCCAGCTTTTCTGTATAACCTGATTTGATGTTAGATTTTGACATGCAGATCCAGGTTTCGAAGGTAGTGCCGCTGACACCTGAAAGGCAAACTGTCAGAGGAGAGTTTGCATCAGAAAGAGCACAGGATGACACGGTTGTGATGAAACACTTTAATAATTATGCAAGTCTGTACAACTCATTTTCATACAGTTTAAATACATCACAGGCATGTACAGCATAATTGAAGACAAAATACATTGTCTCCGATTCTACACCTGAAACAGGTGTGACCCATCAGGGCTTTTTGTGGGAGTGTTGTTTATGGTTGATAGCTTAGCTTGTACATTGTAGATGGCTGTCAATGGATGTACAAACGCCAAGAGCACAAAGGTTTTTAAAGGGGAAAATGTTTTTATGGTTGATAATCTTCAGAATAAATACACAGACTTAACCCCTTAAATCACCATGCCCAAAGATTGATTACACACTTACACACTATAACCTAAGAATAGCTCAACCAGTTTGCACTGAAGTCCCTGTGCTTACCGAATAAGCAGTTAGTATATAATAAGACTGGGATTTTAAGAAGGTTAATGTAGACTTTATTTATGTTTATTTTGATTTATGTTTATTGTTGTTGTGGCATGTTGGAGAGGAGATGTGGAGTCGTAAGTCAGTCAAAAATGCAAAAACAAAGCCTTAACTCACTGCTGTCTCAGATTCAAGACACGAGACTTGTGAAATTCAAGCCTTTTAAGTAAATCAACAAAATGGATTAAATTAAAACCTGCAGAAAAGTACACGCTGCACAGTCGTGCTCAGTGCTGCCGTTCTCCCACATCTTGCAGCATTGTCAGGTTCAAAATGGCTTCAAATAGCAAATTTGTCATTGTAGAAAAACCTTCAGTCTGCTGAAAGGGATAGTACATGCTATGCTACATGCTATGCTGTTTTTCAATGAAAGAAGCAAAACAACTTCAAACAGTTGGCTAATGTGGTCTGGATAGCAAGTACGCTAGCTAGCACAGTGGCTAATTTGCAGAAGTTGTCACTTTTCTCTAAAACTTACTAAAACTTCAGCTGGAGTTGCTAATACGCTAGCTAGCTAGCATACATGCTGTGCAAATACAGACTCCAGGGCTTTAGCTCTGTCCTTCAAATGGAAGGTTTTTCAATAATGAATAGCTCATTATTTGAAGCTGCGTAAAACCTGACAGGCTTTTAGTCGGTGCTTTACTTTTGTACAATGTAGCTAATAATGACGCTAAACTAAAATTCTGCTACTAAAGACTTAAGACGTGCTGCACACTCGCATCCCAGAGATTCAAGACTTTTATAAAGTGATATGTAAACATCTCTGTTGGAGAGTCTTCATAATAACAGCCTCAGCTGGAAATCTACTCAGTCTTATTGGTGCATCTTCCTCATGCTGAGATCATCAAGTTCTTTGCAGATATTAGCCATGGCTAACAACTTTAAGCGGTCCATCGTTGCTGTTTAGTATGGCCAGCCTCCTCTGGCAAGTCTGCTTCTCATCCCTTCTCTCCATCCTCTCCACAATCTCCTTCTCTCGACGACTCCACTCCTCCTCCAGCCGGCGGTACATGTGCAGGGAGAAGTGCCACTCTCCGTTCTCCATCAGTATATCCTCCATGCGGTCCAGCAGGCTGGACACCTGCGCTCTGTCCTGGGTTGCCTTGTTGTTCAGAACTCTGTACCTGTACCTACACTTGGTCAGTAGCCACTCCAGGTGTTCACCACCTCCCTGCAGGCACTCCTGAGCTGTTTGCCCTTGTAGCCGGTCACCCAACGTGAACACCACCATAGTGTGCCTCCACACGCCCTCTGTCAGCAGCTCCATGCGCCTCTGCAGGGCGGTCCGGGCCGACTGCGTGAACTGCAGCAAGGGCAGCACCAGGAGCAGGACGTGGGGGCCTGGATCACAAAGAGATAGACCACTGAAAAGCTCCAGTTTCTCCCTTCTAGGGATGCTGTTCTCCTCTGGGCCCCAACCATAAGTGTCCACAATGGTCAGCTGGCGGCCCTCGGAGATGCCATGTGCGACGGTGGTGCTAGCACCTCCCCATGTCTCAAACGCCAGCCTTCCCAAGAGAGTGTTGCCTACGGAGCTCTTGCCTGTCCGTTTCGGCCCTATGAGGAGGAGTTTCAAGGAGTTGGTGCCAATGTTAGAACCACCTGGAGAAGTGGAAGTGAAAAAGTCAGTTGACCTTGGTTTTAGCACAACAGAAAGATGACCATGACACAGCAACAACAGCAGAACTACAGCCAGCAAGAACAGTGACAACAGATCTTTATAAATCATATCTGTGAAGATCGTAAGAAGATGACATAGACAATACTATGGGTTTACAAATGTGTGCTTAAGCTTGTCACATCAGTACCTCAATTTGTTTCGTATATATTTTTTACAGCATTTGAAATCCTAATATACCCATTGCATTGTGTAAACATCTCCTGACCAGTGGACCAAGAGAAATGGCCTACAGTACAAGAATTTGTGACAACAGTGACAATATAATTAGACTTTTTCTTGCTTAAAAACACAGTCCTTCTAAAAAAAACAGTTCTTCCCAATTGTTAGCAGAGTTTTTGTTCTATTTTCAGTGCTTGTGGTTATTAACCAGCACTGCCGAGCGAAACAATACTGTGTATTCATTATAGTTCACTTGAATTGTATCACTTCTGCAAAACATAGTTTGGGATCGCGTAACTTCTCTTTTGTCAGACCCGTATTAATTTCTTTATTGTATTGCTGAATCACTCCTTAGTGGACGATAATGAAGTCTGGGAAAGCATCATTATTTCACCAGATCAGTTCAGTTCAGTTCAGTTCAATTCTTTTGTTTAGTTAAATCCCCATGCTCTTTGTATAAGCAGCAAGTTTCCCTTTGTAGCTTCATATCGCTGAGGCCATTCTTTATTTAGCAGTAGCGTCTACTCCTAAAGATATTTCACCCACTCTAAATGATTATTTCTTCCATTACGGGATTGCACAGCCAGCTCCTTCCTAATGAACTCTAATGACAAGCCATTTAAAACTATTGATGCTTTGCTTTCTCCAGCATTGCATTCTTATGCTAACTACTACATCCATTGCACTATTCACCCTACCACAAATGCTAAGCATGGATAAAAGCGACAAGTTTACCATAAAATGAGTGATAAATCTGCACCTACCCCAGTTTGTTGCCATAATCCCAGTCGCCAGTAACCAGTCTTAGCTACCAACAGTAAGCATATCTGAACTGACAGTTCAGATACTGGCAGGTGAAATGAAAGAGGAGTGGCCACTATGGAGTGTTCACAAGATTTGGTCACTGCCCAGCTTGTGATATCAGATTTTAAGATACGTCTGCTTCCTACACGTGAAGACCGTGTTCTACTGTTTCAGCAGTAAAGCCACCAGGTTTATTGCTTGTTTACACTTCAGATATGGCTCTAGTGTAGTACTGACCATGTGGTAAGAGATCACGAGCATAAATGCAATTCCCTAACAATCACAGGGATATGGGCTTTCTACAGAAAACAAGAAAAGTTTTATTGCTGTGTACTAATTTTATAGTCCTAGTTACAGTAAGAGAATAATCCCGCACAGGAATTCAAGAAGGAACTGCAAGCGAGAAGGATGTTTTGGTAATTTTGTTATTGACTTTCCTTCGAAGTCTGGAGGTGGGGACCGTGGCGTACGGCCAAAACGTTTCAGTCCAGAAGAGGGCAGTTTCAGTGACTGGAGAAAAAAAAGGGAACATGATGTGATCGCCGGCTTTGTTTACATTCTGATTGTTTTCACAAGCTGATTTGAGAACAATGGATAGAAAAACTGCCTATTTTATTCTTCCACTGACCTTATAAGATACGGTACATGGCCTATTATAATGGCAGTTTAATTATTGTGTTTAACTGTTAGAATTTTGGGTAACACTTTACTTGAACCCTGCTATAAGTCTTATTTAAGGTACAAATTGGACCTTAAAACCACTGTTGTACCTTTAAGGGTACATTTATGTTGTTTGTACCTTGATGAAGGAAAAAAGTACCTGCACAGAACTTTCATTTCTACCAGTACACATAGGCCACAATCATATAAACAGGCAACTTTACTCCCTTCTTACCTCTTCAGTTTCTGCTAACTGTAGTCCACAGAGCTGAAACTATTACACGGAGGGCTGGGATTCGAAGCTCCATACTTTCTGGTACCATCTGTTTTCCTTATCACTGGGTCAAAGGCCCGGAGTATCACTGAGTCAATAGGTCTCATTGTTCCACAGATCTAGACTGCTGATTGGCTGTCTAAATTACATTTTGTACACATATTATTAACATCAGTGCTTCTTGATTACCTCACACTCTTTTCTTCTTTAAGCCACACCCACTTTTTTTCAATAAGAAGATATGTATCTGTAGAGCTGATTGGCCATCCCATAATATTGCCTTGATGATGTACAGTTAAGGCCACAAATGGTCATGTACAGCCATTGGCATAGGTGTCTGCCAGCACACTTGCTTACAATGGGAATGTGTGCACTAGGGCGCAGTGTTCAAACCAAAATGTATAGAAAACGAATTCTTGTGGTTGTCCTCGTTTTTTGCGCAGATTCAGATCGAGTATCATTTGGGTGTTGCCCCACCCCTTGTCCAGGGAAAGCCAATCAGCTACGCAGATTCACATCACACATACCTTCTTATTACAAACCCAAAATGGGCAAAAGCACAAATGAGTGAGATGTAATCAAGAAGCACATACCTTAACATACCTTAACAAGTGGGGGTAACATACCTTGCCCAGGGGCACCACACAGTTAGTCCTAGGGTTTGAACACATGACCTTCTGGTCGCTGGCCCACCTGTTCTACCACTATCGGCAATTGAAATTTGCTATTGAATAACGCCCAGATTTTTCGAAACTGGTATTTAGTATATTATATTTCGTTACAGTATTGAACGATTTCTCAGCCACATCTGATGGCAGTTTCAGCTCAGGCTTGTGGACCACCTCTCTCTATAGTACATAGAAACTAAAAGATGTAGAAAGGAAGGAAATATGCCTGTTTATATGACCATGGTCTATATATTGTTATTATAAAACCAGTTTGTAGTGGGCTTCATGCAGAGAACACATATTAGAACACAGTGTTTCAGGCATCATTAACAAAATGGAACAGCAGTGATGCTATGGCTGAGTTAAAGGCTGTCTTCTCATTTCACAGCATCCTTTTAACCTCTTCCACATAACAGCTGCAGAAAAATGATAGGCACGAACCACTGGCAGTCTCTCTCACTCTCTCTCTCTCTCTCTCTCTCTCTCTCTCTCTCTCTCTCTTTCACTCTCTCTCTCTTTGCACCTCAGTAGCACGATCTCTGTACAAAGATTTGAAATCAGATACACTTTCAGTGTGGCAGAACCACACACCTCCTCCAACATACTGCAACACTGTTAATGAATAGTACAAGCCACAGTAAGACATTTAGATTACATTTACATTAAATTCTTGTATGATATCAAGTAATGCAGTAGAGACACATTGTAGCTTGTACATTCAAATGTGGTGGGAAAGTCAAAGGAAGGAAAGTCAAAAACTTAAATTGTAAAAGTTACAGAGAAAAGGAGAGCCCTAACAACTGTGCAAGATGTAGTAGAGCACCAAAACTATCTCCATTAGATTAAGTCGAGTGGTCTTTATTGTCATTCCTCAATATAACTAAGTATACATTGGAATGAAATGTCGTTCTTCAGGCGTACTTGGCGTCTGTGTATCAATAACTAGTGCAAAGTGGGGGTCTCATAGCAGATTCAAATCAGCTTCTTGACAACAAAATCTTCACAAACTGCTTTTAAAGCTTTCAATTCGAGAGAGAGGAGAAAATCAAGCTCCACTCTTGCTTCAGATCCAAAAAATCCACTGGTATTTCTGTCCATCCTTCCACTGTGAGAAGACAACTCAACACTGTGGGCCTGAAAGGATGTATAGCTGTCAAGAAGCCAATACTGAGCTGCTAATGTGGTCAGAATAATGGACTGTCCACCTCAGAGTCCAGACTTTAACATCACTGAAAGTGTTTACTTGGATCATGAGAAGCAGAAAGTTCAACCAACTTCTAAGACTGAACTTTGTTAAAAAAAAAAAAAACGCAGATATTTTGAAAAAACTGAAAGCAAGTGTCCTAAAGCAGAATGGAAGCTGCCATTAAGGCAGAGTGAACACACTAAATACTGAATCAATTACATTCTATTTCTGTTAAATACAGGTTTTCTTCTTTCCTGATGTTGACAATTAAATAAATTACATGGAAATTAAATGAAGCATGTGCATAGTACCGTATATGGTGTCATTGAATGGTATGATTGCATTGGGTATGTGGCTACACACACTGTACACTCACTGTACACGTGCAACACAACATACTTTGGGTGTGTATTTAATCTCAGAATCACCATATAACCATAAAAAAGCTCCATGTATTGCATTATACTGGAGGGGAGGGTGATTTGGAGTTGAGTTGTCCAGATCTTGTTCTGGCAATCCATTCTTAGTCACGTGCACAGTACACAGCCTGCTGCCTCTCTTGACATTGCGGCTGTTTTGCACGCGCTCTAGGCCTTGTTGTGAGCCTTAAGCACCTTTCAGAGCTGTTCACTCTTTCCCCAGTGACTCGTTCCCTCCTTGTGCCCACTGTTTTGTGCCCACTGTTAAGTGGCTGCTTCATTTGTTCAGTTCAGTTTTATTCAGTTTTATTGTCATTATAGCAGTGTAGCATAACACAAATATATTTCACTTTTTTTTATTTCTCCATGTAACATACACACTGCAATTCTGGACAGTAAGGCAGTGCAGTACTGGACAGCAGTGGCGAACCATGACCATTAGGGTTAGGCCTTCAGTTTAAGCCATAAATGTCAAAATGAAGAAAAAACACCTCTGTGATAATGCTAATTTCTGCTAGCATCCCTATGGGATTCTGGTAGTATGTTAGCACTGAGCTAACAGTGATTCACTTTAATATTTTTTGCCTGTTTTACATTAGACATAAGGATATTTGAAGCTTGTAAAAAACATCAGATTTTATTTGAAGCTTGTAACAGACATTAACATATATTTTACGTTGTAGCAGTTTTACGGTGGCTCTTACTATAAAGATCACTGCCATAGATCTGCTGCTCTTTTTCTTTTCTATCAACTACTGAAATGCACTCGTTGGTCTTCATTCTAGCAGTCAGTGACGTATTTAGGACAATAGAAGACCTATAGTTATGTTTTTTTCTCATAAATTTTCACCCATTCAATACGTGATTGGTTGATTCTAGTCCGTTCCTGACATATTAGGCCTTCAGTTCAGCTCCCGAAGGCCTAACTTATTGGAGAGCTCACTTGGCTGTATCTTCGTAGATAAAAAAGAGAGAAAAATCCTGATTGGGTGATTTTCTGTTGGGCATTTCAAATAATTAGCCCTATTTGTTTCCAACCTATATTTAACAATGGCATTTCTGCAATAATTTCAGAGCTTGTATACAATAAGCACGATAATTATATTAAATTCAGTACCTAGAACCAACACTGAATCTGAGCTGTAAAAGAAAGCAGTGACTTTTACTGTGGTTTAACTGGGTTCTTACAATTTATTTCAGAAAAAAAAAAAATCTTTGTACTTTATGCTGTCATTCTATGCCATGCTGTACCAAGTTATCTTGGTTCTTGGAGATGTTTCTGATTTACTTTCCTGCTCAAACATGTGACATTACATTGACATTTGGTACCACCTTGTTATTCCTTATTTCTTATTCTTTTTAAGAATAAGATATATTACTTTGTCCTTTATCTGCTTAATCTTGAACCTGTTTGACATTTCAGTGAGATTTAGTTAGACTGTCTTAGTATGTATCAACATTTTCACCCAAAATAATTACACAGCACTTTGGAGATTGTTCTCCATACTTTCTCAGTCAATATCTAGAATTTGTTTGCCATTCTAGTGTAATTTATTTACACCATCTCAGAACTTACCATCATGTTACCTAAGACAATTGTCTAGTACTTTGGAGGTGTACCTCACACCTTACCTGGTGAATGCTTAGAACTTAGTGGACTGTAAAAGCGTTCATTAGTTGTGATTAACATTTTTTGACATATCATCCAGAGCTAGAAGAGAGATCTTCCAGAGATAGAAGAGATTTGAAGACCTAGACATGACGTCTCAATCTAATTGAATCTGGTCTTAGATTGAGATTTCATGTTCTTTTAAAAAAAAACAGGTATTTGATACGGATAAAAGTGAGGAGATATGAGAAAGGAGGAGGAGAATGGAAAAGGATGGAGGCCAGGAAGAGAAGAGAGAAGAGGAGATAAGATGAAGGGTACTGGAGAAAACGAGGG